AAGGCTACTCTATGCATTCCGGTGCAGGCAAAGGGCAGCGCATCCCTCAAACAAGTCACCGAGGAGCTCACAAGATTCAGCATGCAGGTGTGCAACACACAACCTATCATCTTCCAGTCCGACGGCGAGCGAGCAACCCGCCAGATCTTGAGGGCAATCCAACATGCCCGAGCCACACTCGGTTTGACCACGGAGATTCGAACTACCTCCAGAGATCAGCGCGCATCCAATGGTCAGGCCGAGCGAACGGTGCAATCAGTTCGCAAACTGGCTAACACCCTCAGACAGTTCGCAGAGGAGAAAGCTGGAGTGAAGTTGACAGGTGACATGCATTGCTACCCCTGGAGCTTCAGACATGCTGCATGGTTGCTGCTGAGGTACAGAGTCATCAATGGGTCCACATCCTTTGAGTTCCTCACCGATCGACGTTATGTGGGGAAAGTGGCCCTATGGGGTGAGACAGTGCTATTCAAAGATGTTGCCTCTTTCAAGCACAAAGGAGACCCTGTATACCGAAAGGGTGTATGGGTTGGAAAGAGCTCCTGGAGTGACAGCCACATTTGCGGCGCAGTTGAAGCAAGATCAATCAGGAGATTGCCCGAGCAGTTCGATGGTCAAATGCTGGTCCACTGCAGAGGTCTACCCTGGCAGTACTCAGTGCAGGGCATCCTGATGAAGACCAAGTTCGCTGCCCGGCAAAGGCTGGCGGATGGAGCAGAGGGAGCAACTGGAGATGAACAAGTTGAGAAGGAAGCCAAAACCATTGGTGAACAAGTGGCTGTTGGCATGTACGGTCATGCATTTGGACCAACCACTCCAGGATTTCCTTCAGAAGGACAACCAAAGACGCCAGCACGAACACCAGCGCCTCCAACACCAGGCAACAGGCCAGGAGGGAACAAAACACCAGGTGCAAGGACTCCCACGATTGTACCTGTGCCAGCCACACCTTCAACAGCAAGGCCGCCAGCACCACCGGCAGTGGCTGTCAAGAGCAGTGCGTCGAAGCCCAAGGCATTGGATCCGACGAGCCTTCATCGACTGCCATTGGGTGAAGGTGAAGAGAGCCCCAAACGAAAGATTGTCCGACTTCCAATACCAGAAGCCATGCGAGGTGAACCAGCTGGCAGTTTCCCTCCAGGTGCCCATGAAGTTAGTCCAAAGAGGCAGCGGCTAGAAGATGTGGTTGGAAATTTGGCACCTGTGACACCACCCCTACTTGGAAAGAGGGAATATGCACTTCCTTGGGATGATGAAGATGATGAGAAAAGGCGAATGAGTCCCAAACGTCGTGTGAGCAGCATCCAGGAGGAGTTCCCAGGGGGTGATGAGATGATCGCCGAAGAGGCCCTTCAGCACCAACTCAATGCTGTCAGTGACGAAGAGGAAGAGATCGACGTCAGCAAGGGCAAACCTCCTTTGGTGAGTGATGAGGAGTTGGTCAAGCTGGATGCAGAGGCTTGCAGACATGAAGAAGCACGCCTTGTGACAATGGGAGTGCTCGAGAGGATGAAAGATGGTGAAGAGGCTGAGGACGGATCATATGTGCTGACATCCAAAATGGTCATCACATGGAAGCATCGAGATGAACAGGGCGGATGGTTCCGACGAGCCAGGCTGGTGGGCAGGCAATTCAAATGGTCTGTTTTCACCGAAGATGCCTTTGCTCCAACCTCAGCATCAGTGGTGGTCCGAATGTTGCTGCAACTCCAGATGAGAACAGGTTTGGCACTATACACCTTGGATGTGAAAGATGCCTTCCTGTTGATGGATCAGCCGGAGGATGAGAGGGCAATGATTGTGACAGAGAATGCTCAATACAAGCTGAAGAAGAACCTCCCTGGTCAGCGAAGCAGCACAATGGTTCAAAGGCTTCTGCAAGGTAGCCAAAGAATATGGTCTGGTGCAAGACGTGATGCAGCCAACGATGATGAAGATGGCCCGAAAGGAGGAGGATCCACAAGACGGCCACTTGTACCTCACCATCCATGTGGATGATCTGCTGTTGGTGGGTGATGAGAAAACAGCAGAAGGCTTCATCAAGTTCATGGAGGGCAAGGGCTGGAAGATAGAGAAACGGGGGCCACTCCATTCAGGTGAGTTTAGTTACCTGAAGAAGCAGATGGAGATCATCGAGAAGGGCATCACCATTCGTCCAGACCAGCAGCACATAAAAGATCTGGCCAAGTTGACAAATGTCGATCAGAAGAAATGCAGATCCACTCCAGGTGACGGCAACTTCAACGAGCTCAGCAAAGAGGATGAGGCCATGAACCACGAAGACATCACCAAGTACAGGAGTGCAGTTGGGAAGCTCCTGTACATTGCACCTGATAGACCAGACATCCAATACGTGGCTCAAGGACTGGCAAGTCTGATGTCATGCCCGACGAAGAAAGGTTGGCGGGCAATGCAGCACGTAAGTTCCTACTTGCTCGGCACCATGAACGAAGGCATTTTGTTTGAGCATGGAGCCAAAGGTCGATGCATGTTGAACACGGACGACAACATCTACGAGTGGGACATCGACCAGGACAGCAAGAGCGTCATAGAAGTCATTTGTGATGCAGACTATGCAGGTCAGCGAGACAGCCGAAAGTCAGTGAGCTCAGTGCAGATCTTCCTCAACGGCTGTTTGGTTGAGAGCTATGTCAGAAGCCAGCGATCAATCGCCCTGTCGAGTGGAGAGAGTGAGTATGTTGCTATGGTTGGTGGCTGCAGTGAAGGTATCTTCATTTGACATTGCTGGCAATTCCTGACAGATGAGGAGGCCGAGATGGTGTGCAGGTCAGACTCGTCAGCTGCAAGAGGATTGGCCGGTCGCATCGGAGTTGGAAGAACAAGGCACATAGCTGCTGGGCTGCTTTGGCTACAGCAGCGAGTCAGTGCCAAAGAGATCCGCGTCACCGGGATCCCGACCGCAGTGAATTCAAGTGACCTCGGAACCAAAATTTTGAGCAAGGCGAGAATGAACGGCCTCAAATACCTCATCAGGATGGTTGATGCCGACGATGAGAAGATCGGGAAAGCCCAATACGATGAGATCAAGTTGAAGGAGGAGCTCAAGAAAAACACCACCAAAATGGCCAAGACAATGGGAGCAAATGCCAAGGTGGCATTGGTGATCGCCCTGTCATTGCTGCAGGGTGGACAGAGTGCAGATGCCCCAGAGGAAGCCAAGGATGAGACAGAAGATGATGAATCCTGGTGGGTTCGGCCACTGGTGACCATGCTGTGTCTGTCGATGATTGGGGCCTTGAGCCTGGCACGGCTGGCGATAGATGGAGTACGAGCATGGCTAAGTGGAAGACGAGCCTATGAGGAGGTCATCGAGGAGAAGCAGAATGAGCAGTGGCAAGAACAAGCGGATGTACCGCGTGAGAGAAGTGAAGATGAGATGACAGTCCCACAACCTGAAGAGCCATGGCAGGAAGATGACCAAGAAAAGGTGAACATGCAATGGCAAATTGTTCAGCTAGAGGTCGTGGTAGCTGAACAGGAAGAGAGGATGCAAGAAATTCGAAGAGAAAGAGATCTCCAGCAACACGAAGTGGTGAGAATGTACAATATGTGCAGTGAACTACGTTTCGAGTTGGAGAATGTCAAGGAAGAGAGAAACAGGCTGTTAGCTGAGAGAACTGGGTCCGGTGGCACAGAAGAAGAGCATGCAGCCGAGATGAAGAAGATGGCTGATGATTGTGCACGGGCCTGGGAAGCTGTTGAACTATGGAAGAAAAGGGCCAAAGAGATCATGGTCCAAGCGAATGAAGTGGTGAGAGAGAAGCTTGGATCAGTGCGTTTCACACTTGAGAGAAAGGAATGGTGGGTGACACGTACAGGAGGATGTTACCACGCCAGTGATTGTAGCCACTTGACTCAAACTTCCAATGTGAAGACGATCAGACCGTGTGCACACTGTATTCCTGCAGCCATAGGGGGCGTGTCAGATTGTAGTGGAATTCCAGTCAACCCATAACATGATGGCAGCAGGAAGCATGCACACAGGTTGTTCACGCCCAATCGAGGCCCAAAGCACGCAGATCGCTGTGGTAGAAACGGCGCGCTTTTCTTTTCAAAGAATGTAAAGGGCAATCGAAAAGCACTTCAATAATATTCAATAATTATGAATTTGTGCAAAGAAAGCATCTTGGTCGCCTCCCATATCTGGTCGAACCTAAGAGACTTTGATGCCATTTGAGTGCATGGCAGTTCCGCAGGTACAACCAAGCTGGATGCAGTTAGCCCATTGTGATGCAAGTCTTACAAGCAGAGTCATTTTTCATCACAAGCATCACACCCGTCACCCGTGTCACCTGTCACCTTTTTGTTCTCAGATAAAACGTCTTGGACGAGTTGCTTGCAACGGAGCAGGTGATGTCCAGTTGCTTTTCAGTTCTTGGTGGATGGTTTGAATCAAAGTTGGTCATGTGGCAAAGGCCATTTGTGTGTCTTCACTTTTGATGGAATTGGCTGAACTTTTGGCTTGCCAGCATTGAGCAGCGCATGACCGTTTGATTCAGGCCGGTGTTGGGATACGGCAAGCAGAAAATTTGGAACACTTTGGGTTGGTTTCACGGCCATTGAATGGTGCCAACTTTCTTTCTGCAGTGGGAGTTAAATGAAACGTTGTTCTTGCCAGGGCGTTTGCGAAACTCAGAACGTGAGCTTCGTTCAAGAAGTGGAGGCCAGGGTCTGAACTGATTTTGAGCTGTGATGCGTTGAATGATCGACCTAGTTCGTAACGTGTGTATTCTGCAAAAGGCTACCTAAGAAAAGAGTGGAGGCACTCAATTGATTGAGCATCCAGCGAAGCCCCAACGCAATAGCATGTGCTCTTTTGGGTTTGCAACAGGAGAAGAAAGAAGGACACTTGCCGTCATCCTCAGGTTGAAATCTAATCAGGTGGAACCCTCGGAATCAGAGTTTCAGAGTTGCTTGTATTTTACTCAAGCTTTTTCTCATTCTTTCTGCTGAGTATGGCGAACATGACTGCGAAGGAGATGCCCCGATCTCTTTCTGGTCGTGCTATGGCTGCGCTCCTGTTAGTTGGTGGCTTCTTCTCATCTTCCCCACCACTGCACATCGATAAGACGGAAACGAAGGATCAATTGTATTCATTGAATCACAAGATGACCAAAGAAGAACTGCAACAGGAGCGGTCATATTCATCCAACATGACCAAAGAAGAATTGGAACAGGAACTCGAGGAGATGTTTGTCGGACGAGAACCTTTGAGGAAGACCTTGATAGACATTTTCATTTGGGCTCAAGACTTGCGCGATCGACAAGAAATAGACAATTCAACAATCCGTCGGACTCTCATGCACACAGCCCACGCCTCAGTCTTTTTCAGGGCTTGGCTCATGATTCCTTGGACTGTGGAGTGTTGGACTGAAAAGGACAGCAACATCAGAATCAACCAAAGACTAAATCTAAAGCATCTATATATTTTTCTCCAGGGACCAGTGACAGCTGTAGGTCTTCATTGGTAATCCTGGAACTGGCAAAACGATGGTCGCAAAAAAGCTGGGTGACATCTTCAAAAGCTTTGGCCTTGCAAAGAGTGGCCGGGTCCCTGTCCTGCCCTCTTTTTTTTTGAGGGAGAGTGGGTGAGACTGGGGCAGGTAGAACCACAGAAACTCATGTGGTCGATTCTTGCAAAGTAAGAGACTGCGGCATATGGTGTTTGAATAGCTGATGTGAATCTGAGAAGAGTTAGATCATTGAACGTCTGCGGTCAAGGCCATGTGGTTGAGGCTTTGCGTGGTGACTTAGTGGGAGAGAGCTCCAAGCAAACGGCGCAGAATGTTGAGCGGCAGACATTCAGACAACGTCTACAGTATACAGTATACATTTGTTTTTCTGTTTACACACGTCCACAGACAGTTACTTCCCAGAATTCCAAATAAAGGAATGCTTCTTTGAGAACTGAGGATGCAGAAAGCAAAGGATGGAATTCTATTCGTTGATGAGGCTTACAGACTTAGCAGCTCAAGTGACGCAGTGGAAGAGATCTTGCTGAGATTGAATGCGACCAATGACTTCATTTTGATTTTGGCGGGCTACCCAGATGAGATGCAGAAGCTCTTCCTCATGAACAATGGGCTGCCGCGTCGATTTTATCAAATAATTAAGCTTGATGACTACACGCCGCATGAGCTAACCAAAATTTGCAACAGGCAGGCACATGAGAGGGGGTACGTTCTTGATCAAGCAGCAGAACAGAAATTTCTGGAGCTTCTTGACAAAAACTGCTCCAACCCGTCTCTGGAACGTCAAGGACCAGATGGGGAGAAGGTCTACGAGTCAATCATTTCACAGTACAATGCTGGCCTTTGTGACCATCTGCTGTTTGCTGCAGAAAAGGAGAAAGCTCTTAGGATGGAACAGAAAAGAGGCAGTCTCAGCAGAATAGAGTGGAAGCGGGAGATAAACGAGTTGAAGGAAGAAGATTTCACAAAAGGCTTCGAGAAGTGGCTCAGCGAGTCATCGCAGCTTCGGTAGTGTTTATACAATTATGGTTTTATCCAGGAACCAAACAGGGTTCCTGGAACTGTTCCCACAGTTTCAAGGTTTCTGTTTCCTTCCCTCAGCCTGAAAAACAGCTGCACCTCCGGCTCTTGCACGGCGAGTTGTTGTGCTCCTGCACGTATTTGAATTGCGAAGAGGCAACGGAATTGCAGCTGTTTGGCCGCTGCTGGGCCTAGCGTCCTAGTGACGTCGCGCAAAAAGAGGACTAGTCTGTCGGCATCAGACTGAGAAAGGGCGTGGTGTGACACTTCTAGGATTCTCTTGCTAAGTGGACGTCTGCAATCCTTTCGTATCAACGGCTTTGTGACTTGTTCGGTTCAGATGTCCATAATCACCATCACACATGTTCTTGGCATTTAACTGAAATGGATGCCGACGGGAATGTGGGGTAACGGTAGGCAGATGACAGTAGTAGACCACTTCATATGAATCATCCGAGTCCGAATCCCACCGGCAAGGCGGCGTGATATAGTTCAAAAAATGTTGAAGTGAAGTACGATGAAGTATGTGAAAGGATTGAAGTAAGTGTGTGTGTGTAACCCTTGGAATCATAGGGATCCTTTTGGATTTGCTCAGCTTTTTTCCATAGCAAGGGGCACCTGGAGCAGAGATAGGGCAGGTGCCAACGAAGACACCTATCTCTTGCTCGTGATATCGACGGGAGACGTCCTGTCGACGTACCTGCAAATTTTCCCATTTTCTGCATGGCGTGAGGCTAAGCCAAGAACCTCGAAGAGTTGAAGCTTTGATGTTTTCTTGCACTGCAGATGTGAGCGTACGCCGTCATTCTGTCGATCGATCGTCCGGTGGTTCCTCTAGCATTGATGGCCTCGCTGAACTTGATGGACCTCCAACCCGGGATGAGCCCGCAGAGTGCCTCCCGTGGACCCGTCGAACGGGTGTATGTCGTTATCTCCCCTGCCCGGAGATGTACGTGTCCACAGCGGACGAAGGTGGCCTAGGCCGTACGTACGATGATTTGTCCCATCATTGGAATTCCAAGGTGGTCCAAGCAGCCAGCCGTTTCGGCAGGGCACAAGGTGACCACAGCGGTCAAAGCAAGTTTAAGGTCCATTGGGACCTGTTGGAGCCTTAGTATCTCAGTTGATTCCTCCTTCTCCGCTCCCCGCTCCTCTTTGGTGTGTCCCTGGACGCTTGTTTCGTAGCTGGGAGCACCTCTCTCTCTCTCTCTCTCGCTCTCTCTCCTTTTCTTGACGGGTGTGTCCTTGGACGCTTGAGTGGTAGCTGGGAACACCTTCGTCTCCTTCCTTTCTCGTTTGGTGTCTCCTTGGACGCTGGGCTCGTAGCTGGGAGCACCTCTCTCACTCTCTCTCTCTCTCTCTCACTCTCTCACTCTCCCTCTCCCTCTCCCTCTCGCTCTCTCTCTCTCTCACACCCTCTCTCTCTCTCTCTCCCTTCAGGGGATGAAAGTTCTGAATTCCTTTCCGGTCACCTACCCTGTACTCACGCGGTCACTCAGCGGTGGCCGTTTGTGGTTGAAGCCACGTGCAAACAACAAGAAGAAGAAACTGTTTATTTTGCTGACCAACTGCTGTCCTTCATTCTTGAACTGGATCCTTTTTAAGAGCACACGTGTGAGTTGCAACATATGACATGTGAGAGATTTGGCTCGTTCAGCTTTGCGTTCAAACATTTTCTTGTGTTTGTCTGAGCCACAGTGCATGCAAGCAGCCCCCTTTGCAACCTGCACGTTGCACCGGGTAGCGCGTTTTGGCCAGCACAGCTCTCCTCACTTTGTTGCGAACCCAACTCTCCAACGGTCTGGCACGGGAAGTGCTCGTTGTTTGTTTGCACTTGCTTTTCTTGGTACCTGTCCGTCGACACGATCACGGCCACGGAACGCGCGCATGAGCGCAGCATCTGAAACTGCGAGTGAGGGGGAACTCTTTTTATATGATGAGAACTTTGGATATGCCGGATTTGAAGCAGGTGGCCGCGGTGAAGGACCCAAAGCCCTGGTCTTCATTGGTGGATTGACGGATGGTTTGTTGAGCCTTCGATACCTGCCTTACCTGGCAGAGGCCCTCCGACCTCGGGGGTGGCGAAGCTTCCAACCGGTGTTGCAGAGCAGTTATAGGGGCTGGGGCTTCAATAGCCTTGATGAAGATGTCGCAGGACTGGACAAGTTCTTGGATTTCTTGGCCTCCAAACGTGGGATTTCCAAGGTCGTCTTGTTGGGCTCGTCCACCGGTTGCCAGGATGCAGTGCATTATCTGAAGAGGGGGCAGCGCAAGTCTTTGATTCATGGAATCATCTTGCAAGCTCCGGTGAGCGACCGAGAAGCCTTACTGGCCGAAGAACGCAGCCCAGAGGATCTCGAAGCCTTGGCCCACTTCAAGGACCTCGCGAAGCAGCTGATCTCCGAGGGCCACGGTGACGAGCTGCTCCCGCGCCGGGCCTGCGCGCTCTTCGGCCCGCCCGATGCCATCACGGCGTACCGCTTCGACTCACTGACGCGGCGCATGGGCGACGACGATCTGTTTTCCTCGGATCTCTTGGAGGAGGAACTGGTGGAAAAGCTGGGCCATGTCACTGTGCCGTGCTTGCTGGCCCTCTCCGCGGACGATGAATACGTGCCCTCCTTCGTGGATTCCGCCGCGCTGGGCCGTCGCATGGCCGATGCCATGGCCGTGGGTCCGGGCGGAGGAGCCAAGGTGGTGGTCTTGGGCAGCGGCGGTCATGGCGTTCGCACCGCGGAAGGGCAGGCGCAGTTCATGTTGTCCGTGGCGGAGTTCCTTTCAGAGTTGGATCAGGGGCATCTCTTTCCGCTGGAGTGGGAAACAGCTCTGGCAGGTCAGTTGCTGGACCGTGCGAGAGCGTTCTCCGAGAGAGAACAGCGGCCGTTTTTGGTGGCCTTGGCTGGGATGCCGGGATGTGGCAAGACGGTCACAGCAGAGATACTCAAACGTTTGTTGCATCCTCGTTGTTTGGTGGTTCCCATGGATGGCTTTCACATACCCTTAAGCGAATTGAAGTCGAGGGTGGATGCGGATGATGCGATTTACCGGCGTGGTGCGGCTGACACCTTTGATCCAAAAGCCTTGAAGGAGAAGTTGCTGGAAATCAGGTCAGGTCCAGACCAGGTGCTTTTGCCCGACTTTGATCATGTTGCTTGAATGCATCAATTCCTAAGTCCTCTCTCAACAATAACAGACTTACTGTAAACTTCTCGTGTTCTCAGGCTCACGGAGATCCTACTTTTGATACGATCTGCTTTGAACGCAGCCGACATCAGATTGTGTTGGTGGAGGGCTTGTACCTGCTTCATCAGCGAGATGGGCTGCCCGGCCGCAAAGGTCACAGTCCCTTAGAAACAAGGGGTGAACTCCACTTCTGAAAAACCACCAAGGGCCACCTTCCACAGGAACAGGGGGGAACTCCACTGCCACACGCCAGACGCCACACGTGGCGAGCTGGCGGTGAAACACGCAGGTGGAAAGGAATGGACCAGCTCTTCGACTTCACCATTTACATTGATGCAGATTTGGAGGAGAGTGATCTCTCTGAGGGCTGTCTGCGGTTGTAGTGCAAAAGGTGTACTTTCTATTATTGCGCTTGCAATGCGTCATTTTGTGTGGAAACCGTTTGGCTCCAAATGAATCGACGTGAGGTGAAGCCAACTCTCCCTGGCGTTGGAAGTAACCAAAATCGAAGTCCTTTTGGTTGTTTGTTGGTTTTGTTTTGTTTGTTTGTTTGTTTGGGCTGCCACATTTCTTCTGGGGAGGACTGCGTGCAGAACGTGAAGGAGCGAAACAAGGTCATTCCAGGTGCGAATTTTCTTGGTGAAATGCATGCTGCATATGCAGATCATTTCGCAAGCAGTGTGGCAGACAGTCTTAGCTCTTGGGGTTTTGAGCAGTTATGGCAGGTCGAGCAGTCTTGTTTTTGTTTTGTTGCCTGCTTGTGGCATGCTCCCGGAGAAATTTTGCGAAGGCTACACGGCGGAAGAGATTGATCGACGCTGTGAAGAAGTGGATCGAGCAAATGCCGAGGTTGGGGTGAATGCTTTGGGATGCGACGTTGGCTCTTTGGGAGCGGTAGGAACGGTTAGGCGGTTAGGCTGTTGGCTGCATGAGCCTTCGTCTTGGCTTTGCGTCGAGGTGGTGCAAGCATCGGCGAGCAAAGCTGAACTCACCGTGGAAAGTAGAGCTGCACCTCCCAGTACACACGCATGAAAAGGAGATCTCGAAGCGCCAGGGTGTTCTGTGTGTTGAAAAACTATCAGACATCTTAGATGGCATATGTTTATCGTGCGGCAACCAGTGGTCATGCAACTTCTGCTCTTGCTTTGCCCAAAGTATCGAATATGACAAAGCAATGAAGCTGCAAGCAACTGTTTGTATGTGAGCCAAGGGCCTCAGGGTAGGGACCCCAACCATGAAAGTGATCCGCAACTTTTCAAGAAGAAAGACTTGCACTCCTTCACCCCTTTTTTTGTCGGATCGAACATTCCAACGTGCAGACAATCAGATCACGGCCTTCACAACTTGGGCCAACATCGACCAGCGGAAGCCGCGCAACTTGCCCTCCTGGCCTGTCGCATCGTCGCCATGCGGAAGAGAGGGAAGAAGACAGAGGAGGGAGCCGTCACAGCTGCCCAAGCTGCCTCAGCTGCCTCAGGCCGCTTCGATGATGGTTGGCCTGATGGGTGAAGTTCCACAGTTTTCACCTCATCATGTTGGAGAGTGGTGTAGAGTGCAAAGGGGATGCTGAAGAACGATATTGTTTTCCGACACTGGACCAACTTGCACTGACCTGGTCACTGTTTGTTTTGGGTTTTGGGACATTGTGCCAAGGCCTAAAGGCGCGCGGCGGTGCTTGCTGGAGGTGGTGTGGCGTGACTCGTTTCTCAGTGCTGAGGTTTCAGGATGCTGGTAGTGCCAGTGGTATCCAGTGGTATTTGATGGTATTTGGTGGTGCTGGTAGGAGCAAGAAGCTACTAGGAGCAAAGGGCATCGCTACTAGGAACAAGGACGCTACTAGGGGCTCCTGGCCTTACTACTAGGAGCAAGAAG